TTCGAAGTAATAAATTTTTGCTTATTTTAAATATTATACATTGTGTGTAATCTTACATCATAATCTTAGTTTATTAAATCACATAGTTATGTTTAATATTTAAACAATTTGTTATCTTTAGCATTTTTTAGTACAATAGAATAACAAACATAACAAATTGATTTTGAAATATATCGAGGAAAAAATCGCATTTCAAAATTATCCTAAAATCACGTTTTCTGATCTTTTGCCTCAGCAGTTACCATTGAAACACAATGTAATTTTAGTAATAATTTGTTAAATATTATGTAAATATGCACATTCATTATTGATATATGAATTTGTATTTAAGTATTATTTTCATAGCAGTCAAATATTTTAATGAAGTAAATGATTCGAATAGTGACTAAAAATTGAACGATACTAGTAGCACCTGATATCTCGTTTTCTAGAACGCTATTTAAGGTTTAAATTGTTTTACAATGAAATTGTTTTATTAAATTACATATTAAATTATAACATTATCTGTAAATATCGTGGATATATACATTGACGATCAGCTTATTGATAGGTAAATCAGAAAATATATATTTGGTATTTGTTTTGTAAGTTTAGAGCGGTGGCGCGGTGCGTGCTTCCCAACGGTGTGTTAATTAATCTTATAAACAAAAGTCGTATCTTTGTCGAAGTAAAGGCATCATTGAGAAGTCAAAATTACCTAATTTCACACCGGATTTAAGCACAGGATTACTAGAGCATCCAATCAATTATAAAGGGTGCAAAACTATGAGCCTTAGGCCCGATTCTTAAGTGATGTAAAAAAATTTCGTAAAAAAGTTCGTTTACTTAGTTGCACAGTCACGAAGTGTTATAACGCGTATATTTAAGTATTACGGTTGTCGGAGGATTAGATCAGTTGGTAATCCGCCACTATTTCTCAATCCGAAAATCGATTGTCGATTACCAAACCTATTCCAAACCTGAAGCTGCCGATCTGCCACTATGTTAGTCATGTAACTTACGAACACCAGTTAATGCACCGGACATGTTAATACACGTTGGACACCGGTAAGCGATCGTGCGGCGTAGTGTGACTAGTTTGTTGTCGTCGAGCTTCGTGATATATACGATTTAGAAATTACCGAGCTACGTAAAATCGTATTTCAGATAATTCTCAGCGTCGTAAAAAGAAATGGCACCTCGTAAAGCTGCGAAACATTCAGACACAGAGGTTGTAGACAGAGCCGTGGAAGCCGGCGATGTATCGCCTCCGAAAAGAAAAAAAACTGGTGCAAAAACTGCGAATAAAAGTGACGAGGAGAAGCAGATTCGATTGCCAAGGGCCGCGAAATCGGTGAAAACCGAACAGCCAGAAGCCGGGGACATGACGTTGACCGTAACTAAGAACACAAAAACAAAGAATAAGACATCATCGCCTGCTAAAGCACCCGCGAAAGCGAACTCGAAAGTCAAGTTTACGGCGAAGAAGAATAAAGAGGCCGAAGAGAAAGCGGATGGAAACCTCGTGGACGCGGAGACTGTGAAAAATCCAGAAGAAACTGAAACGAAGAAGACACGCACCAAAGCTACGACAAAAAAGGCGGGAATCGATACAGACGAAGAGCGTATGTTTTCTAATTTTTTCTTCAGAGTTTTGGTATTGTTGTTAGCTTTTAATTAATGATAAATTATACTGGTGAAGATACGAGTGGTTTGTTTGTTAGAATTTTGTTATTTACTCGATTCTAACGTGATGCAATAAATTGCGCGTAATAAGTTTTGATCACGTGTAGTACATATGTGCCTTTGTATAAGAGAATATAAAAGATTTGGTACTTTTCTATAAATTTTGTAAAAAATATTTCTAATATGTCATTTTGTATATTATTAAAGTATTCATTGCGTAATTATATCAATTAATTTCATAAGTGTGTCTGAATTTTAGCTAAGGCAAAATTGAAGGGAAGAGGCAAAAAAGGAGCTGCCAGTGAGAATGCAGAAAATTCAGATGCACCAGCTGTAAAGAAGAGAAAAGCGACAAATACTGATGTGACATCAAATGAGAATAAACCAAAAACAAAGGCAACAAAGAAAAAAAATGAAGCAGATGCTGATACAAAAAACAAAAGTGCCAATAACAAAACTAAAGCTGCTGCTGGTAATGAGACTGAAAATAATGTTAAAACAGAAGACTCAACTGCAATTATAAAAACAATTAAAAAAGGAAATGATGATAAACCCACAAAAGCAACTACGGTAAGGAAAACAAGGGGTCGCAAAAATGAAACTAGTCTAGAAGATACGCCAAAAGATGAAGACTCAAAAGCAACTTCAGAAGAAGCACATACTAGTGATAACGAAAATCAAGAAGACCAGAACAATCATTCAGATGCAGTAGAACCAAATCAGACACTAAAAAAGGGGAAAAATGTAAGGAAAAAAGAGGGAGCAGTACCACAAAAGAAAGCCAATAAAGTTCGTGGTAAAGCTGCAAATCGTAATGCTGATATTGCTTCTAATGAAGATGATGCTGATGCAATGAAAGTAGGTAAAGATATGCAAAAGAAAACAAGCAGAGAAATCACAACTACTGCAAAGAAAGGACGAGGAAAGAAGGCTACAACTACAATAAAAGTGGAAAATGGAGAAAAGACTTCAGATAATGTAGCTGCAGAGGAAAATTCATTGGAAGTCATAAATAATACTAACGACGAGCAAAAGTCGTCGGAAGAAGAGGACAACGACAAAGACCAACATTCAGAGGAAACAAAGCACACCAAAACGACGGCAATGTCAAAAAAAGTGGATAAAATGGCTAAGAAAGAAGATGCTGAAAATAATGTATTACATGAAGAAGAAAATTAATGGTGAATGTTCTACTTTTACTTGACATATTTCTTGAAAAAATATATCATTAATATTTTAATATATTTGATAAAGATAAAAATGTCTATGAGTATTTCCATGTTTTGAGATACTCAACAATGCACATGTTGTAAAACATCAGTAGTATACTTTGATTATATATTGTTTCAAAAGCAGTTATTTGTATTTTCTATAAAGTCTTTTACATAATATAGTTTTTGAAATCCTCTTCTTAATGTAAGGTCTTATGATTAAGAAAAAATTAATATAAATTGCACATGTAAACACTTATTAGTATATTTAATAGTATTATTGTATTTAAAGCAGTTTACTTGTCTTGAATTTCAGGTGAGAGAACATGGCTAGAGCAGGGTGAACAACATTGAGCATTCCATCAGTCTTCAACAATTAAAATGATTTTTAATGCTAGAATGCCAGTGTTTCTCAATGATACATTTAAGAAGTATATTTCTCAAATTTGTTTCCTTTAAATATAGAAGTTAAATGTTATAAAGTCTCTAAATACAAGAAGATATCAATAAAGAATACTTTTTAATGTTAAATAATGTGTTAAATTGACATACACTGTCATTCTAGAGTAATACTACAGTGTTGCTTGCAACATTTCATTACATTTGTACAAGTATATGGTTCTTAGATGAGTACTTTCCTATGAAATTCTTAAAATATTTGATTGTCAAAGAAAAAATGTGTGAGTACATTTTATATTGGATTATTTCAGGTTTTAATAAATATTTACATTCATATTAACAGTTTATAAAATTACTTTTTTTTGCATTATTGGTGTTTTTTTGTAATGAAATTATTCTTAATGTTTATCATACATTGCTTTTGGTATATTATGTTTTAAGTATCACTTTACTACAGATATGATTATAAATTGTTTTTTAATATTGCTATAATTTTTAGTAATACAATTGAATGGTATGATGCGAAATTTATGTATATAGATGTATGTGTATATACGTGTTTATACATACATATATTTATGCACAAATTAATAAAAACGTTTTGTATCAATAAAACAGTTGCCACTAATAGAAAATAGTTTTATATTAGTTTGAAATACCTTTCCTTTAATAATCGATATTTTTGATATTTTCTGGTAGACTAACATTATCACAGGTGTGATTGTGCACATTAACCTATAATATTCATACGTAAGTAGAACAGTAGTACCATATTTCCATGTAAGCATATTTTTAGTCACAATTATATTTGAGTAGTATAAAAACTTGATATTTTTTTAATTGGAATATTTTTTATTTTACTACATAAAAGTATGAGATGTACATCTATGCATTTACAGATAGAAATATACATATATACACGTGTCTATTATTAATTTTAATTTGATCAAATAAGTACGGTAATTGTAAACAATTTATAACAGGTTTAAAAAAATTATTGGTGTGTAATCTGTATCCTCTATTAAGATAAACAAGACTGAACTCTGAATTATTTCAATGTTCGCGCCCAAAAATTTAGCTTCGGTTGCATTTAATTCCAGCAGCAAATGTATACAATTTATTTATTAACAAAGAAATATATTCATTATGAATACACTTCATATTTTATTTTTCATCTTTGTATTTTTTTATGTAAATAAAATATAACACTGCACATAGAGAATTATAAGCTGCCATTATAGTTATATTAAAGTCCACAACTTCATGCTTGTTTTAATAGATTCTTTTATACTATTTTCATGATTTTGTTTATTAAAAAATAATATTACATAAAAAATAATACGTTGTTCGTTCTAAAAAATCAAAAACTTTATATTTAATATACTAAAGTTTGTTTTCTATATATCTTGCGGATGCTCCTTTATAATGAATTCTTAAGGAGATGGCGCTCTATTAATGTAATACTCGTACGTACAGATGACGTAGTACTATCTATAAGGTTGTAGCAAGCTAGAACGCTCTCCGTTGTGGATCAAGGAAGCAGTGAGAAACAACGGCGGAAGTGGGGATCGTGCGCCATTTTCTATTTTTGCATAGCAGTGAACTAGTGTTGTGTGTGTACATTTTGTGTAAATCGATGGATTACCAATAATCTGAAGGAGGACGTGTCGATGTAATGAAATGATTTTCGGAAACACGTGCTTCGAATCTCATGCAATTAATTTTTTTTGCGTTCGCCTTCTGTATTACCGTGCGTAAACCCATAGCTCGTAGCACGTAAACACTTTTTCTTCATTTCTCTTTTCAACGAGTGAGAGTGGCCGAGTCGTCGGTATTAGAACTGTACGGGCAATCGACGTACACGATTGTTTTGTCCGATCGGAATTCTTTCCTCGCTTAAAGATAAACTCGAGATATAGAAGGGAAAACCAGTCTGTGATACTAAACAGTACTAAGGTATATAGCTAGGTATAAACTCTACAATTAGATATACATATGTATGGCGTATGAGACGTAGATAGATCACATAAAAGATCTAGAAAAAATAAAGTCTGTATAGTGTGTGCTGTGAAATTTACCTTACTCGAGGAATAAAGGTGGTAAAGAGCAGAATGTCTCAGGAATCTGTGACAAATGACAAGCAACTGCCAACTCCTAAAGATGAAGGTATGAGATCCACTAGTTTACCTTATACTTCTCTTAAATATATATGTAATATATATAATATATATAAATTTTAATTGCACACACGTACACGTGCGCGCGCGCGCGTACCACACATGCTGTTTTATGAGCGTGGTTTCGTTTTCAATGTGTAGACAAAATTTAATTTGAATTTGCTTAATTCTCTCCATTAAAATAATCCCTGTTGATTGCTTTATTAGTATCTTTACAAGGTCTATGGCATCTTAACATGTATGTTATTTGTTATGAAAGGTCTGTTGTAAACACCTCAATTTTTTATGAAAAGCAAAATGTAATCATAAGATATTTAAATCAAAACAGCTGTAAACATTTTAATATGAATGTCTTTTATGCATTTTTATTATATTTTTTCAAAAACTAATTATACATACTTCTTTTTCTTTTGAATCATTCTTTTTCATTTAACATGTTTACAAGCATATTTTTTTGTATTGTAATTATCTATCAGAGCACATATGATGTGTAAGTATAAAGAAACCATCTTTACCGAACTTTATAATAAATAATAATGACACATATCTTGGGCATAATTTATATTTAAATATATTTGATACTTTCAATGTATAATTCAAGAAATTTAATTTCAAAATCGATATTATGATATGTGGATAAAATAAAGCAATGTTTCTACAATGTATGAAACTATACATTCAATTATTTGTGTGATAGAGTATGTTAATTGACAAACGGAATGTTTATTTTTATTTGTAATATTTTACATTTTTAAATGCCTAAGTTTTACAATAGGTATCTTGAAATTTATTTATTTTCATATGAAAATATTCCTTCTTGTCTGTTTATGTATCTAAGAATATAGAAAATAAGATTATGTGTGTGATGAATGAAAATTTATAGCAAACATACAGAAACAAAGAAACTTAGATGTTTTATTTATCATAGAATTCTTTTTAATCTTGTAATTTAAGATGTAGCAACTATAAAAGAATTGTGTAATAATGTGCATTATCAATGAAGATAAAATACTGAAGGAGGATATTGAAGTTTACTTTAAGATATTGACTTTAGGACCAAGTTGTTTATATACCTTTTAAATAAGTTAAGTAACATGTCTCGTGTGCATTATGAACAGTTGTAAATAATAATATAATGTTAAGAAGAATATAGCATGATCTTGATTAAAAAAGTAAACATTATTGTTCATGTGTATTTAAAAGTAATGTTCTTGATAACTCCTTAACTGACATATGTGATGTAAAATGAAATATACTTAATATCCAATATTTTTCTTTTATATGTTTAAAAATTCCCGTCATGAAAAAACAATAAATTTACAATTTTTTGATCATTGTATTATAAAAATCTATTTTTGGCATAAATAAATATTTATTTCTTTATTTATTTGCTTACCAATGTGTTCATGAATGTTTGAATACTTCTCCAGGGAATATCAGTTAGAAATTGCGTTCAAATGTGCTACAAACAGAACCAATGAGATATAAAGTTGACAATAACGTTCTTAGGGACGTACTTGATTGGATTGTAGACAAACTCTATCCGCCTAAAAACCGGCCGGCGTTTAGACAGTTTGTATCGTGCTATACGACGTGTAGTATCTATTAAAATTAAGAAATCGATTTCGTAGGCGCGTTACATGGACGTAAACACGACTGAGAAAATTTTCACGGTTAAAACGATTTTATTTCAAAGAGTGCGAAAGTACACGAATCGTTAAATCGAATTTACAGAAAATTATTCCACACGGGTACCGTGTGTACCGTCATTTTTACAAATATATACGCTATATTGTTCTTCATATCGAACACTAATTTTTCCACAAAGTGGATAACTTTAGACAAAAATTAACGTATAGTGTTTCTTTTTGAAGATTATACATTTCGACCTATATTTTATTTCATTCTACTTTCCTCTATAACTTTATTAACCAGTTTGAAACGGTAATTCTTCGTCCGTCTCGTCCTTCGCCGATAAATATTTGTGCGACTGTTCGGAACGGTTGAAGCCGGGTAAATCACAGTAGCGTCCGTAAAAGAGGGGTATTAGATTGGTGAAAAATTTAAGTAAAATGAAGCTAGAGGTGCATAGTGTTATTGGTTCGAATTGGTATCGGCGACCATGGAAACGTCCGCTGGTAGGACCTACGGGATCTCCTCTTCTAGATGCGACTCTTGTCGTGCAAACCAGAGCCTGTCGATGGTTTCGCAAAAATAAGTCTGTCAACGGTATAAAACGAGTTACTTTCCGTAAGTACACCCGTGATGCACGGCCGTTATACGTATCTCCTTTTTTCGGAACGCGAAGTTGCAGGATATATCGTACAAACCACGCGTTCAAATCTTCGTTAAGCCTTACGCCAATGGCAGAAGTTAAAGTTCGTTATCCTGTACGTTAGTTTGTATACAAGTTGAAGCAACTCAATGTTTTTAATGGGGATTAACTAATTCGAAAATGGTTATACGATGTGAATTTAAATAAATTATGAATTTTTTCATAATCTGAAATGTAAGGAAATTTAGAGATTTCTTAAGATTAACAAGTCTTTGTATTTAATAGCATTATACAGGGTAATCCATAAGTCTCTTTACCATTTAACAATTGAATAAACTTTTTTTCAAAAGTTGGAACAAAAATTTTAAAACATTTAATAGAAAAAAAGTTATTTAACTTTTAAATGGCAAAGTGACATATGGGTCACCTTATATGTGTGTAATGATGATGATAGCATACTATTTTATCCTGTACATCTTATGAGAAAATATGCCAGAAGTTGTATACATGTATAAATACATATAGAGTTATAAATTGATGTTTGTTGCTTTAAATATTTTTCAGGAGATGAAGCAATAATATCTATGTCGGTGGCTGGGGAGGTAACCGACACTTCAATTATGGAAGTAGGCCGTTCAAGACCTCAATTCCAATATTCCCGGGTAAAATATATGTTTATGTATCATTTAAGAAATATACTAAAAGTAAACATCTGTTGGGTATCAGAGGCTCTTCTTAAAGTTTTGTAGTCTTCTAATGAAGTAGTAATTTATTGCTTTATTTTCAGGAGGAATTAATGGTGATAAAGAATTTGCCATTATCCAAGCGGAGGCCTGATTTTTTAGATACTTCCTATAATAAGTAAGTTTTTTATTATATGAATTTGCTATTTTTTCTATTATTTTCATTATATTCAGCTGTCTTTCTTTTTTGAATTTCTTTCTTACGAATTGCATTTCTTTATTTCTTTTTATTAAGTTCGCGTGGTGTATGGGATCCTGAACGTTGGCATTCGGGTAGGAAACAGAACGATACACCCCCGAAGGACGAAAGGACTGGACGTGGTGATCAGGTTACTGAAAGTCATAGTAAACGTCGAAACGGAGATCCGCGAGAACGAATTCGCAAGGAACAAGACGGCATAGTTCTGAGCCCCCAGCGTAGGAGCTTTAATTCCGGTTGTTTTGTGAACCAGCCGTCGAATCGACGACCTGAGAGCCCAATAGGAAAGACAGAGGTGCTGTTTAGTTACTGTACAACATTGTTACAGAAAGAAGAATGGAAATGTCTAAAGAAAAATGATTTATAGGTCAGCCATAGGGAGCCTGTCCGACGAATTGGAAGCGGTCGAATTTTAACTCGCGATATATGGGACTTTAGACCAGAGAACGAGAAATTGGAACCTGCTTTTCGGTCTGGTTCGAGTAGTGGCACTTCTATACGCGATCGTGACAACAGGGATGGCCGCGATGGAAAGGAACGGGAGGCGATAATTTGCGTGAACGGGATGAGAGGAACGAACGGTTTGAGAGAAGATCCTTTGGCCGCGACTATGGCGACAGGGAGAGGGAACGCGATCGCGATAGAGCAGCTGAGCGAAATGATCGTAATCATCAGTCTGAACGCGATAAGGATCGTGGGCGGGAACGAAGATATAGTAATGATCGCAGAAGAACTTACAGCGAGAATCGTAACGATGCGGATGAGCCAGAGTGGTTTAGTTCCGGACCAACGTCCCAGCATGATACCATCGAGCTGAGAGGTTTTGAGGATATCCCTGAGGAAAAGGCGGTGAACAGTAACAGTAGCAATACAAAGAGTAAAAAACAAACTCCGGTTCAGAAGAAACGAGGAAAGAAAAATTCGTTGGAGAAGGATGAAAAGCAAGCTGAAAATTCAACGGGTCCAAAAGGGCGTAGTACGCCGACTACGATGGATCAGTCTATGAACGTTGTGGCTGCGCCACATTCCCCAATTTCAGAGCATAACGAGTCAACGTCCCTTGTGCAGAAAACGAATCATAATTCGAACGAGAGCACTGTGACCGAACCAAGTTGCGAGATAACGAATAATTCCAGTACAGTGAATCAGAACCAAGAGGACAGCCATCCTGACTTCAATCTCGATGAATTCTTGAAATCAGATACGTTCTCTGGTGTTTCTGGCCTTTTAACCGTAAGCTATACCTTGTATTAAGTTTTTGCATAACTGTATTAATTTGTCTATTAATTTTATTTACATAGAATGGAGTCGGCTCGAACGGAGGCTCTTGCTCCCGGTTCAGTCAGTGGTTTAAAAGGGAAAGTCCGGTTCAACAAGTGGATAGCCGCAGAACTTCTATACAGGATGACATATTGAATAATCTTCTGAACGACATCACTGAGCCAAATATTCAGATTCCATCGGTGACAGAGTCTAATACGTACTTCGCTCCTATTTCTCCTGCTAATACGACGACTACGAATAATACTACGTCCACCACTGGGGTAAAGCTACTAGAGATGCTGCAACGTGGAAATAAACCGAGTCAAAATGGACAAGGGGATGCAACCAGCAGCGTTATACCGATGATGAAAAGCTCATCCATAAAAGATATGGGTGAGAATTCGTTTACTTTGTCTTTTTGTTATAAAGTACAGTGGAACACTGTATGATGCTGGACATTTCTTATAGAAGTTGGTGGAAAAGTTGTGCATAGTCTCGAAGAATTAGAAGCACGCATGCGAGGTGGTGCTCCTCCACCTACATCATCGACTGATCAACCTCGTGTAAATAAGACTGAAGAAGATCTCTCTGCTTTTAAGAAATTGGTAACGTGTTATATGTGCAATATTATTTTATATTATCGTATAATTAATGAAATAATATTTTGTTGTACAGCTTGCTCAAGTGACTGGAGGACAAGCTATACCAGCAGCAAACGGTCCTATTTCTCAAAAACAACCCGTAACATTAATACAAGTAAGATAGTCATATTCTTCTGTTTTTCATTTGATAATGAGAGCACAGGGTATTTTTGGTTTATTGAGAGATAATGTCTAAATTTTCTCTAGTTGCTTAATTCACAACTGAAGACACAACCAATTGCCCCTCAGCAATCTGTTCAAGAACCAATGCATGCTACAACGTTTAATCATGTTGGTTCTCTTGGGCCAACTCAACACCCACATCAGGCACAAATGCAGCATGAAAATTTGATGAAAGTTTTGCAGATCCAGCAGGTTAGTTAACGCAAGCTGTGTTTGTAAAGAGGAAGTGATGCAATGGTATTTCTAAAGCACGTTCATTATTCTAATAGCAGCAACAGAAACAACAGCAACAGCATTCTGACATGTTGTCTATGATGATGGGTGGTCAACGAATGTTTGGCATAAGTCCTGTTCCTCCAGAAATGCAAATGATGTTGAATAATGCTCCTGCAAGTAAGGAACTTCTCCAAAGACCGGAAGCTCAAGCTATTATTCAAGGTCTTCAGCAGGGAGAAATAACTAGACAACATCTTATGCAACAACTACAGGTCTGTTTGGGTGAAAAATAAATTTGTTGTTTTTGATGCAATGAATGTTCTAACTATTTCTCGTTACAACGATACGTGTAATAGAATCCTGCCATGCAACATCGTCATAGAGAAGTTCTAGTAAATATTTTGAAGATGTATGGTGGCACCACATCGCGTACAATAAGTCCGCATCCTAGTGCGCCCACTCCACAAGATCATATCTTGCAACAGATGTTGTATCAGCAGCAGCAACAAAGAATTCCATCACCTATGAACAATGGTGAGTCATACCTATTGCTTGTTCAAACTGAATAGCGTTCGTAGTGATGGAGTTTATTTTCATTACTTCTATATCTGCTTTTACTATTGACCAACTTGTATCAATTCGTCCGTGCATTTTATTTGAAACTGTTGTCCTTCTCAAATTTTTTTTATATTTTGATAATTATAAAATTTTGTTTTGTAATTATCTTCTATTTATACACATTTTCTCATTTCTTTATAGTAACTGCTATGAAAGTTATA